TTGAGAGCTCTTTCAACGGGTAACATGTAAATTATTATTACCCAAATCAAACGAATACAAAATGTCAACAGCTTAACCACAAGGTGGTTACTTGCTTAAGTTACAGGTATATAAAAGAAATTACAACTCAAGTGTAACAAATACAAATACAAAACACTAACAAATACAAGTGTAATCCAGCCAAGACCAAGATTAGGAGGTTGTCTTAACACGAGACAAACATCTCCATTACATCAAACACAATTTGAAACAGGTGTACACCGGAAACACAAGGTGCACTGACTAGGCAAGGACCATTCCATTCCACATGCAAACCAGGCCGAGTTCATTTTCCAACAGCTTCTAGCAAGAGTAGACAAGAAGCATCAGGCCCTAATCACAATATAATAATGTACAGCATCACATATATACTTAAAGCAGACAGCATCACGCACACAGCATCACAGCACCACAAATCCATGTACAGGTATCTAGGTAGTAGACAGAGATGAAGGACCATTGAACAGGTGAAGCAGGCTAAACTCCACGTAGGCCCTCCAACTTTGGTTAGAGTTTCAAGACACAAAAACAGCAGAACCAAGTCCATCAAAGGTTGAGAAGCACCAAAGGACCATTTGCACCGAATAGGACCAAGTCAAAACCTGTCTGGACCATTTCCCTTGCGTTGACCTTCAATTCCTCCAAAATCAATCGGCAAAAACAGCAGATAAAGTTCATATAAGGAAGCACCCACTGTAGGCGTCCCTGAATTCCAAAAATTTGATGCAAAACAAGCTCAAATCCATGGAGTAATCGTCGATTCCTTCCTCGCGGTACTGTTCATCGCACAACTAGAGAGAGAAAGACGTCCGACTCCATAAAACTGTGGTAGGGTAAAATTTTTATAGTGACTAGCCCCACCGCTTACGCGGCCCCATACCCCAGAAACCCAACTTTGGCTTGGCCCTACGGGTTAGTATACACCATTTGGCCCTACCACTTGAAGGGTTTTTTGGGGAGGCATAGTTCCACTGGCGCAGAGTGGGACTCGAACTCGAGACCTCTCCTCTGGAAGGGTAGATCCACAACCAGCTGAGCTGAGTTGCTTCGTTATTGAGAGCTCTTTCAAAAAAAAAGGTAACATGTAAATTATTATTACCCGTAATCAAATGAATACAAGAATGTCAAATGCTTAACCATAAGATGGTTACTTGCAAAAGTACGTAGAAATACAACCTAAACACCTATACAAAGCAGAAAATTACAAATCAAAATGCCCCTACACAAACAAATGTAGTAGGCCATACATAAATCATCCACTAAGAACCAAAAGGGAACTCAAAAACAACATCAACAAGAAGATTACAAACAGAACAAAAACAAGCTTCAAGTCCATATTGCAACGCATTCCACATTCGAGTTTAATCAAGCAAGGCCTAGTATCAATAGCATCATGTATATCCAATCTCAGCCAAGGTTTAGAAGATCAAGACCCCCTTTTCACAAACAAAAGGGATAGGTCTGAACCCAAGTAGTAGACAGTCTACACAAGCACGGCTACTTGCCATTCAAGATTGATAGCTAGCAGTAGAACATCCATTACAACCAGGTGTGTCCATCTCCCTTCGAAGAGTGCATCATCTCTCCAACTCAAGATCCAAGTTCAGCACAGCCAGGTTAAGCACATAACATGGTATACAAAGTGAAACCAGTCACTGCCAGTGGAAGACCAAGCAGGGGTACCGCCACAGAGAGTAAACAGCCATCCGTTCATCCAAACTCCCATCTGTCAGTGATATGGGCAGCAAACAAAATGTATACTAAAAGATGGAGGGTTCAGAACATGAGCCTCCAAACACAAGGTCCACAGTAACCCAAACAAAGTTCAGAACCAGTAAGCCAAGTAAAAGCACAGCGAGGAGGACTAGCCTTCATACATATACAAGTCAAAGAAAGAGATGTAATATGCATTGTGGGCTAAGTCCAAGAGCAAGAGCAAGGTGAGAGAGAAGAAAAGAAACAGAAGGGGGTGGGAAGAGAGAAAGAATGAAGAAGGGGTGAGAGGGGGACAACAAGAAGGAGGAGGCAGGGTGCAAACACCCCCAACCGGACCCAGACATAAGTCAATGTATCCAGAAGGGGTACAGTCACTTAAGTCTGTTTCAGCCACCCACTAGGGGTTACCCACCCAAAAACCCAGGCCAGACACAACCATCTACATAGTCCCACTCAAAGGAAGGAGCAGGCTTATGTAATGGATTGTGTCCAGCAGAAAGAAGAGTGAGATGAGAGAGAGAGAAAAGAGGGGAAGAAGAGAAGGGAGGGGGGGGGGAAGAAAGAGAGAAGATGGGTGAA